GCCAGACTGGGCATGCTCCCTCAGTTGGGCTCAGATGCAACAGTTCTAGGTGTTGCATCTTGTCTATTTCTTGAACCAGGAACTGTTTACTTTTCCCTGTGACATTCCCGTTAGGAAGAGAACGGCCTCTCATAGTCCAGAGAGGTTAGTGTCAGTGTTTTGTTTAAAAACTTATTAAACATGGCTGGGTTCAGTGGCTCATGCCTGTAACCCCAGCACTTTGGGAGGCAGAGGTGGGTGGATCACTTGAGGTCAGGAGCTCGAGACCAGCCTGGTCAACGTGGTGAAACCCCATCTCTACTAAAAATACAAAAAAATTAGCCAGGTGTGGTGGCACGTGCCTGTAATCCCAGCTTCTCAGGAGACTGAGGCACGAGAATCACTTGAACTGGAGAGGCGGAGGTTGCAGTGAGCCAAGATCGTGCACTGTACTCCAGCCTGGGCAACAGAGTAAGACTCTGTTTCAAACAAAACAAAACAAGCATAAATAATTCTTAAACAATCTTTACAAAGATATAAGAGGACTAGAGCACACAATTCTAGAGCATCAAATACAAAGATACAAAAGGACTAGAGCGTCAAATACAAGTGAATATGCAAGGTATATTAACAAAACATACGAACGGGATTAAACGGATGACTCTGCCCCCAACGATTTTCTGTTTGGCTCACAATGTAGTTTCCCTGTTTAAGACACAAACAGAAAAGGGTTGACAAGCAGAGCCCAGAGGATGCCAGAGCTGCAGCACAAGTGGGGAGGAAGACACCCTTTCTTTGACTCCTTTCCGTTGCCCTGGCACCTTCTATTCCTAAGGACCTTGTGAGAGTTGTCACCTTCCCAGCTAATATCTAGCTGGTGAACTTTCAAGTGAAGCCAACATCTTTAATTACTGGGTAGGAGAGTTGGCTGGACACATGGCACATCTCTCTCCCAAGACCTCACTCCACCGGAACTATCCAAAGAACTTTTACTTAATTCTGTGGGAGCACTTAAATTTATGCCCCATTAAAGTTCCCTTTTGAAAATTACAAGCTGAAGCCACATCTAACAACTATGATGTTCTCTGGATCCCACGCACATCCTAAAAATGGAAAATTCATTTCATGGTCACAGAACCAATAAAAAACATGACTTCATTTGAAATGCCTACATTTTTTTAAAAAACCAAATTAAATGATTTCAGGTGTTTATAAAAAACTCATTAGGTTTATAGCATTCTACAAACACTGGACACGCTCTGAAAAGATTCTCTTACGTCATAAGAAATTACAGCTTAGACTGGAGGCCAATTTTTTTTTTCTTCTGTGAGATTTGCTTTTAGTTTCAAATTTAGCGTTTCTTTTTTAGTACCAAGGTCAGAGTTGGACCTCTTAATATTTATGTTCTTACTCATCTTTCATTAGCCACAGAAAAAACAAGTGATGCTAGTTTCCTACCTCCAGACTTGGTTACATAAATGACCCTGGGTGTGACCATCTCGGATGAGTCTGTAAGTCAGTCAACAAACACGAGTCCCCACTGTGTGCCAGGTAGGACCCAAGTTCAGTAGGAAAAGCTCATACAGTCATGTTTCTATTGAAGGTCAGAGTCCCAACCTTCAAGTAACACGAAATACATAGCCGAATTAAGACATCCCTCAAGTTCTGGGAGAACTTGTTTGGAGGGCTGCCCCCTTACTTTTTACCTGGCTTTTGATGAACATTCTTAGGGGAATCACTGACATAAACACAAGGGCCAAGGACCCCAGCTCTACCATTAAGTTCCCTAAACAGTCCATGACATTTAGTGAATACAGGGATCTCTGGGCTTGTGCCTGATGGTCCCCACAGGATCCTGTAAGGAGCAAGGGCAAGTCCAGATCTGTAGCTGCTGGGGAGCTCTCACGCCCTGCAACAAAAGGCCAGAAGTGGGTCCTCTCTTAGGAAAGCTTTGCAGCAATGAGGGTTCTTTACGGACAGCTAGGCATGGAGCCTGGCACAAACTGCTGCCTGACACCCAGGGCTGTCCATGCCCTGGTGCCAGCCTTTCAGCCACCACTGCCCATCCCTATTCAACTGCCCCACAGAACTCCTTGTTTTCCCTCGTACATGCTTAAAGCTGCCCCAGCTTCCAGCTCGTTGCTCATGCTGCTCTGTCCGGGATGTCCCTCTTTCTCATTTCTCTTCCAATTCAGGTACATTTTCTAAACGCATTTAACATGTCACAATCTCCACGGAGGTTCCTCTCATTCATCCCCCGACTAGAAGTTTCTCTGTCGCCTCTGAATTCCCCATACATTATCTCTCTCTCATCTTCCTATTGTTTATCACCTTTTAACTTGTATAACAGTCATTTCTTTTCATCTGTTACCTTCCCTGTAAAACTGAGAAGTACAAGGGGCTAGAGTCCAGGTTTTCTTGATGACTGTATTTCTAGCATCTAGCCTAGTAATTCCATAGTTTTAAAAAACCGGGTTCTGCACAGCCCCAGGGTTCTAGAAAGGTATCCTAAGATCACCTGGTAGGGGCAGAGTGGGCAGGGACCCAAGGAAGGCCGCTTCCCCACAATATGTGCTTTGGTCAGATAGGTTTTGAATTGAACTCTTCTATATATTGGGATTCATATAATTCTTTTAAAAAGGATTCTTCTAGAGATAGAAAAAAGGAAGCCACTGTAACAGATATTGTCAAATAAATTAATAAAATTACACTTAATACCTGTAGCCCTTTCTCCCTCAGGGATAACGAAATTCAATGATTAAAAATGAATAGCAAAGGTTCAGAGTGGCTGTCAGTCGAAGAACATGGTCAAAATAGAGGGCCCTTTCTTTTGTTCTAAACAGAACTGTACCAAAATTTTAGTTTTACATTAAAATCAAGCTCTGAATGAGTTACGTTTAAGGTGTTAAATAGAACTGGCCTGGCACCTGGTTCTGGGGTGTGTGTGTGTACACATTAGCACATCCACTATGCTTTGATCTCAAAGTAACTTCAGGGGTATAGGAGAGAGTTGTAAGTAAGGCTGCTGCCTCTTGATTTTCCTCTGCTTCCCCTCCCACCACCAAATAAATTTACTCTTCCTTCAGTCTTCCCCATCACAGTAAATGACAATAATATCCATTCTGTTGCCCAGGTTAAAAATCTAGGCGTTTTCTTTGATTGCTCTCTTTCTTTCATGCCCAACATCTAATTCACAAGTAAATATTGTTGGGTTTACATGTGAAACAGTCTGAAGCAGTCGTCCCTCTCTGCCAGCCACTACCAGCTGCCGCGGTTTAGGGCCTCACCACCTCACACCTACGTTACTGCAGTCGCCTCTTCTCTGCCTCCCACCTTCCACTCTCTCCTCCCTATAATCCGTTCTCCGGGCAGCAGCAAAAGTCATGTTTAAAACTCTACTGTTAAAAACTCTCCAAGAGGTTCTCATCAGACATAGAGTAAAACTCTAATTTCTAACTGGTCAAAATAATCAAGCTAGCATGTATATCTCACTCCAAACTAAACAAATTTGCTCACTCTGATAATCTTCAGTTGGGGAGTTTTAAGAAAATAAAGTAGTGGATGACTGAGCAGAGAGACAGTAAGACTGGCACCTCATTCAAAAACAGAAATGACTTACGGCTTCAGATTTGGGAGGCACTGGAGGTGGAGGTAGGGAAGTATCTGAAGATTTCATTGCTGCTCCCAGAGTCCCAGGGATGGGAAGAGGAGAAGTTGCACATTTAGATCGGACAGAACCTCTAAACTGATCACATCTGCTCTTCTCGCTCAGGGAGCGAGTGAGAGGCTGATGGCTGGGCTTGCCTTCCTCCAGCCACAGCTCTTCATAGGGAAGTTCTGACTTTCCCGGGAGGCCTGCTGATTCTTCACTAGCTTCTGGGAAAAGGTAGTCGCTCCCACTATCTCCAGAGTCCTGGTAGGGCAGGATGTCATGAGGAAAGGGGGCCCAATCTCCCCCCAGGTCCCTGCAACCATGAAGGTTCACCTCGCTGTTGCCATGGAGATTGTTGCCATACACACAGACCGAGAGTCGGTGGAAGGACTGAGTGAGCTCATCGCGGGCGTAGCTGAGGGAGTTGGGCACGTGGTTGTGGCCAGAGCACCGGCCCTTCTTGGGACTCTTGCAGTCCTCATTCCAGTCGGTTTTCACATCACGGACAGCCCGTGAATACTCATCGATGTCGAACTGTTCTTGGCAGATACCTAGCCAGTGATGGACCAGGGTTTCGGGCCATCCCTCTCCCTTCACCAGGTGTTCTGGGAGGCTGAACTTGGGGACAGTCAAGTGCAAAGGAAAGTGCATGGGGAGGATCTTGTTGTTCCGCAGCACACAGCAAACCACCACCGTCTTGGTCTGGATGTTCACAAACTTGTAGCGGTGCCCCTCCCGGATGAAGTGGAGGTCGTATGGGTTTCTCGGTGGAGGGCTTGGCACAGTCACATTCACAGGAAGCCTAGTCTTCTCCACAATGTTGCGGATGGTGTGTTCGCCCTCTTGCATCTGAAGTTCCAGGGGACTTCGGGTGCTAAACCTGCCCTTGCACTGGAATGGAAGGCTAATGCTTTCGTTGGTCCGGTGATTCATGCAAATGAGGCATGGCATTTTGCCTTTTCCCAGCTTGCTGATGGAATTGAGCTTCCCAATTTTTTTGAAGATTGTGTTGAGTCGTGACTTTTCCTTGAATGTCTTTGCATAAAGGATTTCTGCTTGCCCCATTAGAGTGAGTTCATCCCCAGTACACAGGGTGATGTTGTAAACTTCAGTGTCTTCATTGCATTCACCTGAAGCAACCTACAACATAATAAAGCATATTTTAGGTTCATTTCCTTTGATCTACTCATGCAAAGAAGAACTTCCTATTAAGACCCACACAAATACATACACAGACGAAAATGCTGTGCTTTTCTTTAACACTAAATTTAGACACTTGGTTTTATTTTTATTATACTTATGTGGTTAACAATAACTACTATTTGTTCAAGATGATATTAGTCTAGAATTTTATAAACATCTCTTTTCTTTATATATGCAGAGTAGTCTATCATATGGATACTAACAGGGACATTGTAATTTTTTTTCTTTTTTAGTTATAAATGTTTTCATGAATGCTGATGTAGAAAATTCCTTGTTTTTTATTATTTAAATTTAAATTTTTTACTTTTTAAAATTTTACTAAATTTTTAAAATTTGAAATTGAGATAAAGAACTTAAAAATGTGGTATTTCTCCATTTTAAAAAAATTATACATCCATTATTTAATTGGCAGAAATATTTAAAAATACAAATTTAAAAATGAACTTCTATGCTATCTTATCACTAAAGATAATCTGTCAAATATAAATAGAAAAAAGAAATAGAATTGATTCATCTATCTCAGAGATACAAACAGATACATATATACACAATTCTGTTACCTGAGTTTCTAACTGTATCCATTTCCCCAGGGCATATACTTCATCAATAGTAATACTAACCTAATGTATTCCATTTTGTATGAATGTGCATTATTTGACTAGCTCCCTACTCTAAAATAAAAATATAGATGGATTTTTTCCAATGTCTAGCAATTACAAATAGTACTGCAATGAACTTTTTTACAGCTCAATTATTTCCTTAGGATAAAGTACCAGAAAAACTGCAGGGACAAAAGCTATGCATATATTTGTTTTTTGGTTTTGTTTTGTTTTTGAAGACAAGATCTTGCTGCCCAGGCTGGAGTGCAGTGGCATGATCATAGCTCACTACGGCCTTGACCTCCCAAGCTTAAGGAATCCTTCCACCTCAGCCTCCCGAGTAGCTGAGACTAAGGTGTGAGGCACCACCCCTGGCTAATATGCATATATTTGAAAGGTCTAATATGCACTGCCCACTGTGTTTTCATCAATGTTATACTTATTTATACTTTTATCACTTTATGAAATTATGACTCCCTATACTCATACTGAAGTTTATTTCATGTTTACCAGTATGAGAGATAAAGCATCCATGCTGAATTAATTTTTTTATTTTAAATATATTTATTGGTATATTCATTTTTCAGTATTTATCTAATTATTTAGATCTCTTACTGATTACTTTTTATGTAAATGAAAATGTAATTTATGCTATGCATTTTTCCATTTGTTGTTTGAATGGCAATTTTATAGCTTAACTATTAAAGTTGTCTTTTTTAAAATGTAGTCAATATTTTCAAAATTTTCCTTTGTGATTTCATTCTTGGGTGCTATGTTTCTAGCCAAGATGATACAGATTCATGATTCTGAACCAGGAGTGATTGTACCCACTAGGGGGCAATGTTTGGAGACCGTTTTGATTGCCACGACTGGGGAAGCTGCTGTTTGCATCTAGTGGATAGAGGCCAGGGAAGCTGCTCAATATGCTATAACGCTAAGGACAGCTCCCCACAACAAAGAATTAGCCAGTGCAAAAATCTCAGTGGTGCTGAGGTTGAGAAACGCTGGTATAATTGCCAGTGTTTTCTTTTAATACTTTGCTATGTAGCTCTATTTTTTTAAAAATCCGAACCCAACAGGGAACGTTAACTCTATTTACTCTGGTGGATTATTTAAGGTAGGTTTGCGTGTGTGTGTGTGTGTAAATTAACTGAGTGTTGAGTACACTTCCTAAATAGCCATCCCTTTCATCACTAATTTGAAGTGTCACTTTTATTGTATACTAATATTATATACTTTTGTATCATAAATGTAAAATATATAAAGTATTATATACTAAGTTCATAAAATACATTCAAATATATACCCATATTTGCATTTATTTGGGGGCCATTTATCTTAGTGACCTTTCTATTTTCCCACTTTAACTATATTGTTTTTAATTTGTCTTCATCTTACATTTTCAGATCTGATAACAAAAGCCCTGAATTGTGTTTATTCTGACTCAAAAAGTATGTGGATGGCAGAAAACAAGAGAAATAAAGTCAAAAGTCAAAGGACAGACTGAAATATTTGCAAAACATATCACAGATAAAGAGCTAATATTTCTAATATACAAGTAGCTTTTTAAAAGTAAGGACCTGAGAACATCCTGGCTAATGCAGTGAAACCTGTCTCTCTTAAAAATACAAAAAAATTAGCAGGGCATGGTGGCACGTGACTGTAGTCCCAGCTACTTGGGAGGCTGAGGCAGGAGAATCGCTTGAACCTAGGATGCGGAGACTGCAGTGAGCCGAGATTGCGCCACTGCATTATTGCAGACTGGGTGACAAAGCGAGACTCTGTCTGGAAAAAAAAAGAAAAAAACAAAAAAACAAAAACAACCACAAAAATGTTGTAGAAAAATAGGCAAAATATATGAAAAATTAATTAACTAACAAGATGTACAATGGCTTTCAAACCTATGAAAATATGTTGAACTTCTCTCCTTATAAGAGAAATGCCAATTACAATTATACTAAGATACCATTTCTCACCTAACACATTGATTAAAAATTCAGAAGCTTGACATCACACTCGGTAAGGCTATGGGGTAAAAAGGATCCTTGTCCATAGCTGGTGAGAATACAGCATGATACAACCTGTGTGGTGGGGAATTTGGCAATATCAAGCCAAATGACATATGCATTTATCCCTCCATCCAGCAATCTACATCTAGGAATTTACCCTGAAGATATTCCTCCAACAATATGAAAGTACACATGTATAAGGTTATTCATTGCAGCATTATTTGTCTTTGCAAAATATTGGAACTCATCTAAATGCTCAAATATAGGAGGCTGACTGAATAAACTATGGTACACACACTTCCTGGTACTATGCAAAAGACAATGAGAATAATGAATCCAAGGAATGGATATGAAATTACTTTCAAGAATATATTGTTAAATAAAAAAAAGCAAAGTGCAAAAAAAGTTTATACAGTATACTTTTTTTTTTGTTTAAGAAGAAAGGAAAAATTAGTATATACATTTTCTGTTTATTTTTGTTACAAAACAAAAACAAAAACAAGCACAAGGAAAAACAGAAAACAATGTAACTGGTTACTTACTGGAGCTAGGGACAAGGGAGGAAATGAAACCTTTCTGAGTATACCTTGCCACAGAGTTTTGACTTCAAGGATGTATGCTAATGTGCTACATATTTTAAAAATTAGGTCAACAAGAATTTTTTTTTAATTGTAAGTTCTGGGATATGTGTGCAGAACGTTCAGGTTTGTTACATAGGTATACATGTGTTTCATGGTGGTTTGTGGCACCCATCAACCCATCATCTACATTAAGTATTTCTCCTAATGTTATCTTCTCTCCCTTAGACACCCCCCTCCAACAGGCCCCGGTGTGTGATGTTCCCCCTTGTGTCCATGTGATCTCATTGTTAACTCCCACTTATGAGTGAGGACATGCAGTGTTTGGTTTTCTGTTCCTGTGTTAATTTGCTGAGAATGATGGTTTCCAGCTTCATCCATGTCTCTGCAAAGGACATGAACTCATCTTTTTTTGTGGCTGCATAGTATTCCATGGTATATATGTGCCGCATTTATCCAGTCTATCACTGATGGGCATTTGGGTTGGTTCCAAGTTTTTGCTATTGTGAACAGTGCTGCAAAATAAATCTCTCTTTATAGTAGAATGATTTATAATCCTTTGGGTATATATCTAGTAAAGGGATTGCTGGGTCCAATGGTATTTCTGTTTCTAGATCCTTGAGTAATCACCACACTGTCTTCCACAATGTTTGAGCTAATTTACACTCCCACCAACAGTGTAAAAGCATTCCTACTTCTCCACACCCTTTCCAGCATCTGTTGTTTCCTGACTTTTAAATGACTGCCATTCTAACTGGCGTGAGATGGTATCTCATTGTGGTTTTGATTTGCATTTCTCTAATGACCAGTGATGATGAGCTTTTTTTTCCTCATGTTTCTTGGCCGCATAAATGCCTTCTTTTGAGAAGTGTTTGTTCATATCCTTCACCCACTTTTTGGTGTGTTTTTTTGTTGTAAATTTAAGTTATTTTAAAACTGAGTGCAAATGGAAACAAATGCAAAATTCAATTGTTTTTTAAATCAACAAAATAACCACTCTGGGGAAAGAGAAATAATCCAAGTAGCTTTGGAATGCTGTCTGATATGGTTTGGTTGTGACCCCAACCAAATCTCACCTTGAATTGTAATAATCCAGGTGAAGATAATTGAATCATGGGGGCGGTTTCCTCCAAGCTGTTCTCGTGCGAGTGAGTTCTCATGATAGTGAGTTCTCACGAGATATCATGGTTTTATAAGGGGCTTGCCACATTGCTGGGCACTCATTCTTTCTCCTGTCACCCTGTGAAGAGGTACCTTTCTCCATGAGTGTAAGTTTCCGGAGGCCTCCCCAGCCATGCAGAACTGTAAGTCAATGAAATCTGTTTCCTTTATAAATTACCCAATCTTGAGCAGTTCTTTATAGAAGTGTGAGAACGGACTAATACACTTTGACCATATAATGCCAGTAGGGAAAAAACACCAATAAATACTCTGATCCTTTTGGTAGATTTGTTTTTCATAGGGATATGGGTAGAACAACTCTGAATCAAATGTATGTGTATTGTAAGATTGAATGAATGGGTAAATATATTGATGTCTTGGGAGTACAGAGATTTCATTTTGGAAGGAGAGACAGAAACATGGAATGAAGAGCAGGAAAGGCAAGACAGAACTCCTTGGGGTTTGGATTGAAATTAGAGGTATCCATATCAACTCACACTTTTCAGCAGTTATACACACAGACACACATAAACACACACACACACACACACACACACACACAAACACACACACACAGACACACAAACGTA